TCCTGACTAGTACCTACAATACAATGTTAAATAAGAGTAGTGAATAAACATCCTAGTTTTTGTTTTTTACAGATGCCTTTCATCGGTTGAGGCAATTGCCTTCTATTTCTAGGCTCTTGAGTGTTCTGCCCAATGATCCTGAGTATACAGTAGCCCTCTCTTATCCCCAGTTCCTTTTCTAACTAACAGTCATGGTTCAAATATAGTAAATGGAAAATTCCAGAAATAAACAACATGTTAAGTTTCAAATTGCATATCATTATGAGTAGTGTAATGAAATCTCAACATGTCTATTCAGTCAGGACATGAATCCCTTTGTTCAGTGGTGGTACACAGGCTATGAATCCATTAGCATATATATATAGGAAAAAGCAGAGTAAATACAGAGTTTAAGTATCTGCCATGGGGCTTGGAACATATCCCTCACAAATAAAGAGGGCAAAAAAATGTTACCTTGTCTCTGGAAAACAATTTTGCAATATATGTTCATAGTTTAAATCCTTTGATACAGTAATTCTATTCCTACTGGTCTATTTAAGGGAATACATGCATATAAAAAAGATTTATGAATGAGAAACTTCAGAATAAAAAAATCCAGTTTCAATGCCTATGGACCCACTGTTTCTGGTTGTTGTGGAGTTGTGGGTTATCTGCTCATTATAAGACTTTTATCCTCACTACTCATTTTCTTTTTCTTTTCTTTTTTTGTACTGGGGATCAAACTTGGGACTTTGCATTTGCGAGACAGGCAACAGTACCACTGAGCTAAATCCCTGGCCCTCACTACTGAATTTCTAACCAAATTACTATGTCAGAATGGATTAAGGCTTTTCCTAGCAGAAAGTCCTCACGTATGAATCACCATGTGTAAAATTTCAATATAGGAAATTGGAGCAAAAAGCCTGAATTTAAACATGCAACAATGGAGTAAAACATGACTTATATGTAATATATGCCATTTCATGCATGTATAAGACAAAGAAACAGATATTCTAGAAATAAATTATCATACATGGATATGAAAAGAGATACTAGGGAAAATACAGAAAAGGTGATAATATCTGGGTCATTTCCTAGCTTATGTTTTATTTTATATGTTCACAAAAATCAATGTTACTTTTACAGTCAAGAGAACCTAAACATAAGCATTCTTTCCCTTCCTCTGCCCCATGCAAAAAAAAAAAAAAAAAAAAAAAAAAAAAAAAACAACGGTAGTAAATTTTAATAGTGCTATACAAAAAGAGAGGACAGGAATTTCAAACTATGAAACCCTGACCCAATTATCTTAACTGGGAATTTTACAAAAAATTCCAGATATATATGAAAGGTAGACTACTATTTCATAAGTTTTATCTTTTATATGACATAAAGCATGACACAACATAGGGAGTGGTAGTATTTTAAAAAATTGCAAATTTGCATGTGACCTTCTCCCATCTCAACATGCTGTTGGAAGACATACTCCTGTTTTTAAAATTATTTTAAAAATTGGCACATAAAACTAGTGATGGGATTATAGGCATGCACCACCATACATGGTATTTTTATACATGTATATACTAATGTTCAATCACAATAAGCATAATTATCTCCATAAACATTTTTTTTAAAAATCTACACTCAAAACCTTTTAGCTCTTTGGAAGCATACAATACATCATCATTTTCTACAGTCACCTTACTATCCAACAGCAGATCAGAGTGTATTTTTCCTAATAACAGACTTAGGACCCATTCACCAATTTTTTACCCCAAACATCCTTCTCCTCTGTTTACCATCTATTCTACTGTCAACTTCTACAAGATCAACTCTTAGATTCAACATGCATGTGATCAAGCAGTATCCATCTTTCCATGACTGACTAATTCACTTAACATGAAGTACTCCAGTTCCATCCATGTTATCATAAATGATAGGATTTCATCCTATTTTATGACTGAATGGTATTATGCTGTGCATATATACCACATTTTTTTCATCTATCCACCAGGTAATAGACAACTGTTCCTATTTCTTAGCTATTTTGACTAGTGCTACAATAAATATGAGACTGCAGATGTCTCTTCAATATACATACTATTTCTTTCTGATGTATACCCAGTAGTCAGGATTGCTGGATCACATGGTAGCTCTATTTTCAATTATATAAGCAATGTCCATTCTGTTTTCCATAATGACTACTAACTTATATTCTCTCCAACAATGTAATAGTTCCTTTTCTCTGCATTCTCCGCAGCACTTCACCCCCGACCCCAGAGCCAGCCTTTTAAAAAATACTTTGTTTTTCTTATACAGCAAATGGCTTGTACCATAGCAATTAAAATGTTTCTATCTTCCAAGTTAATATTTGTACTTGATTTTTGTATTGTTTATAATTTTTATATTATCATAGATACAGTGTTATCTTATATTTTATAAATACTAATACACTTATATTAGACTAGCCCACAACACTAAACCAACATTCCCCAACTGTTTTCTTCTCCACTGTAGCAATCACAACTGCTGCCTCATCATGGTTCCCATGAAAACAAATGAAGAACTGTGTCAGATTTTATGATCCTTCACATACTCTAATACATGTCACTAACACTACCTAAACATAACCTTCAGAGTAACCATGTTTCATGTAGCTACAAACAGATTTATGGTTGGGAGAGAAATGAAGAGGGGTGTAAACACATGCTAATCTGTGATTTGAAAAATACTGCCATGTGTGGTGGTGCACACCTATAATCCCAGCACTTGGAGGATGAGGTAGTAGGATCATTACCAGTTTGAGGCCAGCCTGAGCTACACAGTGAATTGAAGACCAGCCTGGACTACATACTAAGACTCTTTCTCAAAAAACCAAAAAAGGAGGGGAGGGGAGGGAAGGGAAGAAAAGGGGAAGAAAAGAGAAGGAGAGGAACGGAGAAGGGGGGGCAGAGAGAAGGAGGGGGAAAGGGAGGGAGGGTGGGTGCAAAAAAAGCCAAAAACAAAGGCTTTAGGGAATATATAATCTGTTAAGGAAAATACATTAAATATAATACAGGGAAGACTATGGACACTTTTATATTTTCAGAGGTAGTAGTAGTCATTTAAAAAATGTCACAGACAGGAATATAAAAACAGCTAATTTACTCATTTAACAGTTATGGTCATGGGGTAAAATAATAATTAAAACAGGTTTAATTCCCATCTGGATAAGAAAAACAAGTAATAAACCAATGTAATTATCTCTAGGAAGTTAGTTTAAACTGCATCTATACACAGGAGAAAGTGGGAAGACTGATCAAGTAAAGCCTCACTAATAAATGGAACAACATCCAGTCTAAGAACTTGGGAGTGAGAAGTCAGTTTTTCAAACACTGTACATGCATGCAAGTGCTAGGGGCAAAGAAATGAAAGCCTATCAAAGAAGCATTGGCATAATGTTCACTGGCCTATCTGAGGACCCCAAAGACCAAAGTGACTAAAGCTTAGTGAGCAATCAAAACTGGCAATGATGGGATTAGAGAGGTAGGAATATGATCTCACAGAACAAAGAAGTAAGAGGTCCAGAGCATGCTGAAGGAAAAGCAAATTTACTAATATGACTAGAGCATGAGTTTAATGGAAAACAACTGTACACCACCTTCATGTTTCAGGTCTTAATTCAATTTTTACTATGCAGTAAGAGAATGTTTCCCTTTTATGGATGAAAGAGTAACAGTCTCAGGAAGACCTAAAGCCTTGCTAATAAGGTCACACTGTTAAACAGAGTCTCAAATCCCAGACACGTTAATATAAGTCAAACAAGTACACTAATTTCTATTACACAATAAGTCATGAAAAATAAAGGTTAAAAAGACAAATCAGACTAAATATCAAGCTGAAAAATATGGGCTTTGTTATGGACAAAAACTGACAGAAATGATTATCAATTAACAAGATTCTGATATCCACAATGCATATAGAACACTTTCAAATAGAAGTTAATTTACACAATAGTAACTGTATAGTATATCATTCTTTTTTTTTTTTTTTGGTACTCGGGATCAAACTCGGATCCTCACACTTGCGAGGCAGGCGGCAGATTCACTGAGCTAAATTCCCAGCCCTATCATTTATGTTTAAACTGTACTTCCCAGAAGTGTAAGACTGGGGCCAGGGACTTAGCTCAGTAGTTCTGCCACCTGCCTCACAAGTGCAAGAACCCAAGTTCGATCCCTGGAACAAAAGAAAAAGAAGTGTAACACTGTATGGTTGTGTAATGGCCAAGTATCAAGTTCAATTAAAACATACCTACTTTAATGTTTTATATTTGAAAAAAAGCATTGACTGTTTAAAAAGTATAGATCATACAGAATCAATTTTGGTTCTCAAAATCTTACTCTAAAACAAGAACATGGGCCAGGGATTTAGCTGTGTTCTGCTGCCTGCCTTGCAAGCGCAAGGACCTGAGTTAAATCCCCAATACCAATCAATCAATCAATAACAAACAAACAAGAACATTTCTTTCAACCATCATATATGTTCTTAACTACCTTACTTATCAGGCTTATCTCTTGCAGCTTTTCTGCTAAAAGCAAACCATATATTAATAAAGTTATTAAAGACAATTTCAGGGTTTTCTTCGCTTGCACACTTTAAGAACATATATACCTACCAAAAATGTCCATGGATGTTTAGGCTATTTATAACATAAAATGTAGGATATACTCTTACAATACTACAAAGTTTTTCTAATAACTAAAAATAAAAGATGAAATATTATATATTAATTCTCAAAAAAGGAGATGTTACTAGTGAAACTTCATGTATTAACACTGGAAAATATGCTTTAATTAGCTAACACAAAATCTACAACAGTAAATAATATAAATTCTTCAACTCTACTGACTTCAGAAACACTATTTAACATGGGGCAATGATTTTATATACCCCAAATTACTCAAATGGTCAGCATCCTTAACAAAATTTGCAAATTGGAAACATTGTGAATACAAAGAAATGTTTGTTTACATCTGCATACATACCTTTGTCCTTCTTAAAATCCAAAGCATCTTCTTTATCAGTCACTATTTCCTTCATATTGATAATACTCTGGTGGGTAAGCTGTCGGAGAATTTTAATTTCTCGAATTGCTGTGATTGGAAAGCCTTCTTTTTCATTATCCAGACGTACTTTTTTTAAGGCTACCATTTCTCCTATTAAAAAATTGAATAAAATCAGCTGACAGAAGCAGATTACTATTTGCTAAATTAAATTTATTTTGATTCATAACTTTTGTTCCTACATCTTAAAATTACATCCACAAATTATAGTTTCCAACATACCAAATAAATATTTGGAGTTCAATAAATGAGGTCTCTTGGATAAATTATGGAATACTTGTACAAACCATGAAATACTATACTAATAAAGGATGAAGTAGATCTGTATGGACTGTTTTGGTTTTTTGTGGGGGTTTTTTTGTACCAGGAATTGAACTCAGGGCCTCACGCTTGCCAAGCAGGTGCTGTGCCACTGAGCTATATCCCCAGCCCTGACTGTGGTTTTTTTTTATGGTGTCCATTGGTATATATTTAGTGAAACACATAAGATACTAAAGACTAGGTCTATTACACTGCCATTTATTTGTTTAAAAGTATAGAAGGGTCAATATAGCCAATACATTCATACATAAAATCACTGAACAGAACAGAAGATATGCTCTGCTCAAACATATTACCTACTCAGTCATTTAGTAATGCCACAGGGGTCCAAACTCTGATTAGCTGTCTCAAAAGTATTTGGTTTTTCCCCACTACATTAAACTGACACCCAGTTAAGATATGAGTGAGACTGTTATCAGACAAGATCTAAATTTAAAAAAAAAATACACAAAGCTTAATACAGGTTGATGAGAATCCCTTATCTGAAATGTCTAGAACCAGAAGTGTTTCAGATTTGGGGAGTTTTTTTCAACTCTGGAATATCTGCACAGATTTCATGGGCTGAGCATCAAGTGGACTGGTATAAAAAATTCTCTATAATAAAGATGTCTATTACATTTCTTTCAGGAAAAATAATGCTGTTCTTACGAATTCTCAGAAAAAAAATCCTTTCCATCATTAAAACTTACTCATTTTATGACATTTTATAATAAAGTATATTAAAAAGCCTTTAAGTTATAATGTAATTTTCCTGATATTATAAATATTGTTACTCTATACTATAATGCCTTCAAAAGTCATCCCCCTCTACTTTAATTGGCCTCAATTTTAATCTACTGGTTTATGTTAGCAACGAATTATAAGCAAAGAAAGATTAAATACTAGTGCTAGAAGTCTGGCATGGTGGTGCACTCCTGTAATCCCAGCACTCAGGAGGCTGAGGCAGGAGGATCACTGTGAGTTTGAGACCAGCCTGGGCTACTCAGTGAGTTCCAGGTCATTCTCAACTACATAATGAGACCCTATCTAAAAAAACGAACAAACACACACACACACACACACACACACACACACACACACAACTAGTGCTATATATTATTTAGGAAAATGCATAGCTTCTGACACAGCTGCTTTCTTCCTCTTTCAAGAACTTTAAAAACTCTCTCAAGTTCCTGATTGTGTTGAGAAATTACTCTGTCCTCCAGGGTGTGTGTGTGTGTGTATGTATTTTAGTACTAGGGATCGAACTCAGGACACCTTGTGCTTGCAAGGTAGGCACAGTGCCACTGGGCTAAATCCCCAGCCCCTCCAGGGTAACATTACAAAATAAATTTCACCAAAATGCAAGTGTGCACAATTAATACAAAAAATTTGAACAATAGACAAATTCAAGTGAAAATATTTTTGTCCCATTTCCAATGTTTTAAGAATTATTCACCATAAAAGGAAAAAAAAAAAACGCAAATACTAAATTGCACTTTTTAAAAAAGCTATGTACATATACACAAAATTACAATAAATATGAATTTTACTTTTTTAGAAATTTCTAAAGCTATACATTAGAACAAAGACAAAGTACATACACACACTTCATAAGCCTAAAGAACCCAGAACTTGGCATTCTTACCAGTGTCTTTATCCCTGGCCTTGTAAACTTGTCCGTAAGTACCTTCTCCAATAATTCCGATGATATCAAATTTATCCACGCAGCGTTTTCCCCAGTCAATATCTTTTTCTTTGATTTCACCATAGCGAGGCCCACATATTCTATTAAATATAGTTCTGAAGTTTTTATATACAATCAAGCAAATTAAGCAAACTGTTTAATAATTCAGTATCTACCCCTCTTTTATTTTCCTCTACCCTTGCATATTTGTGACCATCTAAGTTACTCTAATTTGATATTGTATCATAAAAATCAAGGTATGATTTCTACTGATTCTTCTGCTGGAGAATAGGATTCAAACCAGAAAAGAGAAATATTATTTCTATGAAGAGCTTTCAAAAACAAAATTCAACTTTTCAATGAATGGATGAACCCAATACTTATAAAAAAAAGTTCTCTAACCAACCGCCTGAATTTTTTCATTCATTACCAAACTTTCTTAATGAACAGTAACCAAAACTTACAAAATACTGACAAATTTTGATTTATAACTAGATGAAATTATCTTAAAAATGGATAATACTATAAAAATATTGTAGCCTGAGAGTAAAAAATGTATTAAATAACTCTCAGAATTCCACTTTTAGAAAATTACAACATTCATAAAAAAGATGTTATTTTATAATATTTCCATACCATATTTCCTAAAAATAAGACAACTGGAAAATAAGCCAGGAAAGAGCATAAGCCCTCCTCCCAAAACTAAGTTCCATTTAAGATCGTCAGCTAGATGGAAGCATGTATTACATCACCTCAATACATGATAGATGTATTAAATTATACATATGTAATTAAATAAAAAATTACTGACATTAATGCTTAAATAATATAAATTGTAATTAATGATTTGTAAATGCTCAAGTGAAAGCCTATGGACAAAAAGTAAATGTCTATGTAAACAGATGAACTTGAGACACTGCCTAATGAACACAGCACAGGCACAACTCACAAATAATGTACATACTCGGTAACAACGGATGCTGTTGTGTCTAATACAAATCTTCATAATTCAACACGTCATGTGCTGTAACATATATGTAATGCTCTCATGTGAAATAAATATTTTCCAATTTTGTTGCCTGCAACTTTTTTGTCACTTTTGTGTGGTTCATTCTTAAAAGTGTCATCATTTTTGTCGCCACTCTGGTCTCATAAGTCTTCAATATTTGATTTAATGGAACCTTTGTGAAGCCCAGCCTGCAAGAAGTCATGACTTGGGTGAAGAAGTCACTGATAGCTGTGTGCCTATGTAGTATGAGCAGGCCTCATGGACAATAAGCTCTCATTTAAGGAGAGAGCTCTGTTGCTAAATACGAGACTGGGGCCTCCTGAAGAATGGTTCTAAAGGAAATGGAGATTCACGAAATTCAGGCCAAGCCAGGCCTGTGTGCACACACTTGAAATTGCAACACTCAGGAGGCTAAGGGAGCAGGATCAAGTTCAAGACCAGACTGGGCTACAAAGTGAGTTCAAAGTCAGCCTGAACTACACATCAAGACCTTACCTCAAAAAACAGAAACAAAAAAGAAAGAAATTCAGGCCAGAATTAGGGTTTGGAGAGTTGTGACAATGTTCCAGAAGATAACATGACTATTTGAATAAATGTAGACTTCGGCATATGAATATATATTTGTGTATATGAATACTTTACACGAATAAGACATTCCCTGAAAATAAGCCCCACTACTTCTTGTAGAGAAAAATGAACGTAAGACCCAGTCTTTTTTTTTTTTTTGAGGAAATACGGTATTAGAGATCCCAAAATTTCAAGTAAAACAAAAAATCTACAGTTACAGTACTCATGAAAGATTACTTTAAAATTTTTCTTTTTTCTCCTCTTAAAAGAAAATGACCTCATACTAATTAGGCACTACCTGAATAGCAATTTTAAAAATAAAAAAACTCAAAAAGTAACTCAAAAAGTCTTTATTCTTGCTTTCCTTTGGTTAAGTACAAGTTTAAAAAGGTGTTCCATCCCCTTAACTAACGAGCAGGTTTCAGGGGAAAAAATTCTATCTGTACACTTAGCGTGAAACTAATTTAGAATACAGATTTCAAATGGTCGTCCACTCTGTCTCTTGCAAAACGAAGAATGAATTCAGTTATGGAAAGAAATGCAGCTACAACCAAAGGAAAACAACAGCTGCTTGCTCATTTCTAATTTTGTTTAAACTCAATGAATACCAACTTCTGCCTTGTCCAATGTCAGTGTTTCTGTGTTATTTAGCTGTCTAAATGACAGGAATTAACTTTAACATATAAAATACCCCAAGGAATTAATACATTACAAACCATGAGAAAAATTTAATTCGATTTTATTAGTCATTTTTGATAAGCAATTAGGAAAAATGTTTCCAAAACTAAAAATTTATTCATATATATATATGTCGAGAGAATAAATATATCTTTCATTTAAAATGAATCATTTCTGGAGAATTTAAGAGCAGATAGAAAGCAAGCACATACTTAGGTCTCCGTTTACTATGCAACTGCGTTGCAGTTTTCTTTTCCTCTGGACTCTTGGAAAGATCATCTCCTCCTGGTAGTTCAGGGGGCAGTGGTAAATCAGCAAGTAGACATCGGAGTTTCTTTTCTACTTCTTTTTTAACTGCTTTTACAGAAATATTTCCTCTTAAGCTTAAAAACGAAACAAACAAAACAAGTTACACAACAGAACCCAAAATTTGGGTGAGGAATAAATATGTGGCAGTTTCACATTTCAGTAGTATACAAGGGCCATGTATATTCTGTACTATTCCTTATTGAAAGACACTAATCTCAGTTTCTTCACTTTCTTTTTTTTTTTGGTACCGGAGCTCAAACTTAGGTCCTTGTGCTTGCAAGGCAGGTGGAGGAACCACTGAGCTAATTCCCCAGCCCCATTTCTTTACTTTCTAGTCAAAATCAAACACTAAAAAATACAAAATTTAGAGGTTAAAAAAATATGGCACAATTAGTTAAAAACTAAAGAAACTATATAAAATGTGGGCCTCAATGTATCAATATTGATTTATTAATTTTAACAATGTACCACACTAAGGAAGGATACTAATAATAAGGTAAGAGGGTACAAGAAAAAGAAAGACTATTATCTTTGTAACTTTTCTGTAATATAAAACTTCTAAAAAATATTCTTCAAAATAATAGTCTTAATGTCAAAACTATAAATTAAAATTGAAAAATCAACTAATCATTCCTTGTAGCAAAATTCAGCTTTGTAAAATCACTGGAGAGGCAAAAGACGTCTTCCTGTAAGAAATCAAATAAAGCCACATGAAATTAATAACTTGCTATTACTTACCTTGCCCATTTAAATAACTATAAACAGCAACTAATTCAGCTTCAATTCTTTTTAAGGTTAATTAATTTTTCTACATTAGACAATTCTTCTAATTTTTTAAGGTGGCAATTTACCGGAATTACTTCTAGAGAAGTAATTTCATCTTTAGTTCTATCCTTTGTATTAATGTACACAGAGCTGTGATTTGAAGTGGCACACCCCTGTAATCCCAATTACTCAGAAGACTCAGAGAGAAGGATCACAAGTTCAAGCTCAGCCTCCACAACAGAGTGAAACCCCTGTCTCAAAAACTAAAAAAGGATTGGGTATGTAGCTCAGTGATAACATGTGCAAGACCCAATTCAAATGGGGGAGGGATTATATCTTCACTTGCTAATTCAATGAATTTCCCAAATACCACAAAAATTGTTATTGAATAATGATATGTCTAATAATGACATGTTGAAAGAGAATCTTACAATGATAATGTGAGCTTTATATATTTTCATAGCAGTTCTGAGTGTTTGATGAAACCATTTTGAGACGACACTGCAGTGGTTACAATTTAGTAAAGATGTTATCAATTTAATTTAGTCATCACTTCTAATCATGTTAAACAATATTACTCCTGTAAAACAAATGGATTCTTTAATACCAACTGATTAAAAACTACTTACCAATATTCAGACCAAAAGCATACCTTTTCTTCATAGCCCTGTTACTCTCTAGCAGGCTAGGAGGGAAAAATACTTGAAAATAAACTGGTTTGTAATCTTAGTTTTTGCCATAGTATGTGACTCAGCCCACTTCTCAGTTTTACTGTCTCTCCATTCAAAAAAATTGTGGACTTCTATTTGGTACGTATCGTATAAGACTGGAAAATTTAACAACAATAAATAAATACATTACTCTACTGCTCCTTTCAGATAGGACCTTACATTTTTGGAAGAGAGAGTCAGGTAAGCAGTAAGATTAAGCACTATGCAAAGATCTCAGACTGGTATGGTACCTAAATAACATTTGAAACACAGTAAAGGGCTCTTTCTACAAAGTTACCACTGGAACACAGTCTAAAATTATGCTAGCTGGGCCTGGGATTTAGCCTGCCTCTCAAGCAAAAGGTCTTGAGTTCAATCCTAAAGGAAGGAAGGAAGGAAGGAAGGAAGGAAGGAAGGAAGGAAGGAAGGAAGGAAGAAAGAAAGAAAGGGAGGTAGGGCAGGAGGGAGGGAAGGAAGCTTTTAAAGTATGTCAATTTGAAATAAGCTATTTAGCTGGGTACAGTGCTACAAGGCAAGAGAACCACAAGTTTGAGCCCATCATGAACAAAGTTATCAACTTTGAGACCTTGTTACAAAAAAAGTTAAAAAGGCTGGGGATGAAGCTCAGTGTTTAAGCCCTGGATCCAATCCCCAATACCACAAAAATTAATTAAGGAAACTAAAGCTTCTAACTTGTAATTAGGCTTCAGTTAAAAGTTCACATGTAAAGATTCAAATCTACATGGAGAGGTGATAAAAAGTTTGTTTCACTTTTAATTTTTTAATTTAAAAGGGTACTTCTGTTAAAATATATTATTACAAATATTATGAAATATTACTTTCTAAGAATAAGATTATATAACCAAAAACTATGTTTTATTAAATACTTTCAATAACAAATTAAAAAATGATTTTTTAAAGTTTCCAAAAGAGAAATAAAATGCCTTAAGAAGAAATGTATAAACCGGGCGTGGTGGCGCATGCCTGTAATCCCAGCACTCAGGAAGCTGAGGCAGGAGGATCACTGTGAGTTCACGACCAGCCTGGGCTACATAGTGAGTTCCAGGTCAGTCTCAACTACACAGTGAGACTCTGACTCAAAAAAAGAAAATAAAAGAGAAATGTAAAGAACAAGATAAAAAAAAAATTAAAGCTTTGAAGAATGTAAAACTAGATCTGAACAAATGGAAAGAAACTGTTTTTGTATGGAAACAATGATACTGCAAAGCTGTCTCCAAATTATTCCATTTTATCGAGCCCTCAAAAAAAGTTACATTTTTTTATTGTAACTTAAGCTGACTAATTATAAAGTTTGTTTAGAAATAAAGACAGAAGAATTGTCAAGAAACTTTCGGAAAACGCAGGACTAATCCTGTGAAATAAAATGGTCAACCTATTTTAAAAGATCAATAAGAGGGCCAGGGATTTACCTCAGTGTGTGCACCACACCTGCCTCGCAAGTGCAAGGTCCTGAGTTTGATCTCCAGTGCAAAAAAAAAAAAAAAAAAAAATCAGGACTACAAAAAGCCAAATATGCATTATTCAGTCAATATAATGCTTTGTAATAACCTGTAAGTTGTCATTACTTTTAAATAAGATTTACATAAACATTCAAATTCCACTCTTCTTCTAAAAAGGAAACTACAACAGTAGGCCCACATTACTGTACAGCAACATTAAAATTGAAGTTCTATACCAGGTCTATTCATTAATCATTCATTTATTCCAACTCCTTCATATATATATTACCTGTGTGTCCTTATAATAGAAATCTGAGTTTGAGGGCCAATATACCATGCACCTGAAGATATTAAAACAGGCTATCATGCCTTTTCATGATACCCCACCCTATGCTGTAGAATGTATTTTTATTTTTTCCTCCCTTTTCACTTGGCCCAAAACTCACTCTGAAGAAACCTGTTTACCTATCACTCTGGTTTTTTCCTAACCTTTAATAAATGTGAAATTTTGTCACAACTGGGGGAAAAAAAGAGTATTAAAACCGTAGGGTAACTGTAAGGTTGTGGCAAAGAAAATATGTCAACAGAGAAAAAATGCAGAGAAACACAAGACATTTAAGAATGTTTACACATGGTATTCCAAGTGAGATTAAACAGACAGTACTGGAGGGGGAGCTGTACACAGAGGAGAACCGTAACTACTACTTCCCTCTTCACACAACAATCCAAAGAGAAACTATGTGAAAACATCTGAGTTAATATTTTTAACTTTAAAAACAAAGAAGTTTTAAAGAAAAGAGTGACAGGTTTGACTACATAAAAATGAAAAATACCCACACAACCAAAAACAAGTTTCAAAGAAAAAAGACTCCAAAAGGCAAAGTTCTAGATCCCTAACATAAAAACACCTAATAAGCAATTATATTAAACACAACAATCATTAACAATGAAAACATTTCAGCTATTATATAAAGACTGTTAAAAATTCAAAATTGACAATATTTAGTGCTGTTTAAGTACATTTGAGTATATAAATTGGTACACAGTCTTTGAGAAACAATTTGGCAGTTTTTATCAAATTTTTAAACGTATATATAATACTTTGACATGAACCTGACCTACAAAATTACTAATATCAAGTACTAATAGAAGAATAGTTTATAGAAATTATGAACAGAAGTATCAATTAATATTAGAAAGAATGATGCATCCATTTCTAGAAGTAGGATACAGAAAGATCAACACATTAAATGGAAAAAAGCAAGCCAAGAAACATGATGCATAATATGATCCTAATTGTTTAAAAAAATCCCATAAAACCAATTAATATATCTTACGATTTTTCAGGAAACAGACGGCAACTCTGGGAGAAAAACAGAATTCAAAGCAAGCCTGAGAAGCACAGAACCAGTAGAAACAAGTAACATTATATCAAAGGATAAAGGAATCAATTTAAAGGAAATGACACAGGCCAAATTTCACCCCAAAAATTTGAGCATCAAAAAGAAAAGTTAAGGGCCGGGGATTTAGCTCAGTGGTTCCACCACCTGCCTTGCAAGCGCAAGGACCCAAATTCCATCACAGATACATGATGGGGAGGGGAGGGGAGGAGAGGGGAAAGAAAAGTTAACAGAATAAAACTCCACAAGACTGAAATGACTGAATGGGCCACGGAAAAAGCTCCTATTTATATTGGCTTTATTAACAGGCAGGGTTAAAAGAATGATAGAATTAGAAAAATTACTATTTGTAGCCCCTACTATAACAAATGATTAAGATAATTATTATTAATGGGTGCTAAACCATTAGGAGACCTATTGTTGGGGAAAAGGATATTCACACACTACTAAAGTATTAAACTATAGTTTACTTCTATTTGCAAAAGGAAAAGTATACCTTATATATCAGCAGATCTTAAAGTCAGTCATCACATTAACCAAGTAATTGCATCACTGTTACTAAAATAAAGCAATGTAACATTTTGTTCCTCCTGTAATGATAGCATTACACACATAAAATAATCCTAAGTAATCCTAAATAATCAAACCAAAAACCTACTCTTGATCTGATCAAAGCCCAATTAATTTCCAGTTTATAGGAAATGAAAGGGTCAGAGAAGAACGAGCTCAACGTCACCAAGAAGAAACTTCCAGATAAATCCAGAAGTGTGACACTGTATTACACTACTGACCTAGATTCTTCAAAAAGTTATGGTAAGAGGAGCACTGGACAAACGTAAATATGGACAGACAGGAGATGATGCTATGCAACTCTTAATTGTCTACATTAATAGTACCATGATTAAATTGGAAATTGACCTTAATCTTGGATGATAACTGAGATACTGCAGAATAATGTATCATGATGGCTACTTCTCATTTTCAAATACAGTAGTACAGCAAAAAAGTGTATGCCCACATACATCCTTCTCCTACTCTCTTAATATAGAGGGAGGCAGAGGGGGAGAGAGTGGTGCAAACATATTGAGAAAAATGTTAACATACTTGCTAAATCTAGATGGAAGTAATACAGATACTGATTTTATTAGAATTGTTTAAAATGCCGCAATATAAACAAAAAAGTGTAACAAGTAGTGGAATCGAGATTTGCAAATCAAGAGGTCACATAGAAAATACACAACTCTTTGCTAATTTATTTTGGGACACAACAGTTACAGTTAAGAGTGGGTAGAGGCATGCTTAAAGGAAGCAAAGATGAGTAGTTTTCCTTAAGATATGGCTAACAAGATTATCCAGACCATTAATCTTTAGAGTGATTTTCAAACTTAAAGTGAATACCAAGTAAACAAAAATATCTTTCATGTTTGGGTTCCCTAAAGTATAGGAGAAAAGAATGAGGAATAGTTTGCAAACCAGTTTCAATCAATAGTTATTCAGCACAAAATAACAGTATACAAAACTGGGCACACAGTGGTGTGCACCTGTAATCCCAGCATTCTTGAAGTGTGGAGATCCCAAGTTTGTGACCAGCTTGGGTAATTTAGCAAGACCTTCTCATCAAAAAAACAAAACAAAACAAAAATGCTGGGGATATGGCTCAGTGTCACAGTCCTGGGTTCAATCCCCAGTAGTACTACCACCACAAAGAAAAAAAAAAGTATACAAGTGTCTGTTAGGGTTTAGATGTAAACTACATCCCAAAAGTCTCTTGTGTTTTAAACAAATCTCTCTCTCTCTCCCTCCCTCCCTCCCTCTCTCTCTCTCTCTCCCTCCCCCTCCCCTCCCCTGACTGTCCCCCACCTTCCCCTCTCCCTCTGTCCTTCCTTTTCCTGCTATCTTGAGGAGGTGAGCAGCTTTCCTCCACCATGCCCTTCTACTGCCAATTCTACCTTACAGCCAACCCAACCCTGGGCTAAATTCTCTACAAACTGTGAGCCAAAATAAACCCATTCCCTTTATGTTGTAGGTGTTGGTTATTTTGTGCTGGTAACAGAAAAGGAACTTTTAAATATGAAATTACCATGATCATTACTTTAAGGTACATGAACAACAGCAACAACAACAAAAGCAGGGTCACATGGGTGGGAGGATTAAAACCTACAATTTCTCTTTTACCAAAACCAATCCTTTTCAGAAACAAAGCACTTGCCCAGTGTGGTAGTACATGCCTATAATCTCATCATTCTGGAAGACTGAGGCAAGGAGTGACTGTGAGTTCAGGGCAGCATGCACTACAAGAGGAGACCTTGGGTCAAAAACAAATAAAACAAAAGAACAAAATACTAGATCTAACCAGGCACGGTAACACATGCCTGTTGAGGTAGGAGAGTCACAAGTTTGAGTGTAGGCCACACCATGCAGAAAATTCAAATCCAGCTTGAGACAGTGAGAACCTGTCTCAAAGCAACTAAAAGACTACAAAAAAAAAAAAAAAAAAAAAAA